TCATTGAGTTTCAATTAACAAGACAAAAAATTGAAACGAAAAAAAAAACTTTTTGTGGGAATATTTTCTCTCTTTATAACTGCCAAGATGTATATCTTTTTCGATAATAATAAATGAAATTATATTGGAAAAAATATTTCCTAGATGTTTTTCGTTTTGTATAACTCGACCAAAAATTTTGGTCCAAAAAAAAATGACTATTGAGTACTTTCAAAAGTTTTTTTAAGCCAGAAAAAGTAGTTATAAGTTAGGATATGGCTGGGTATGGGTGTGTGAAACTGCTTTTAGCCCACACCCACACCCTCTCTCTATTTGTTATATTGTTTCCTGATGATGGTGGAAGATATTCACCGAAAGCTCGAAATAAAATAAATATTGAAATTTGAAAAATTTCAAAATGTATTTCATAGCAGTTCTATATTTTAGCTTCAAGTCTAGTATAGTTAAAATCTCGAATTGCAGCTATTTTTTCAACTTCATAATACAATCAATGTGATTCAAATTTCATATGAGATGAGCAATGTAAAAGTCTAAAACTTCTACATACATCTAATGGGTAATGCAGATTGAACAATATCAGATAAATGCCGATTAGTAAAACAAAGCAAATCTATTTATGACATAATGATACTTGTTTGATATAAACTTGCCTTCACAATAGAAGATCTTCCTTAATTAATTGATTTTTCATACAATTGGGTAGTATTCGTAAGATAGGTTTCGATCGTCGTTCAGCCTAAAAAAAATGATCAGTTGATAGACTTTCTAAATCTTCATCCAGATACTATATCTTAAATCATTTTCTTTAAAATTCGTTCAAAATTGAACTCGAAACCACCTTTAGTCAGATCTGCGTATGATGAGTAGAGCCTGTCAAGTCTCTGTCTGATCCGATAGTTGCTACTTTAAAAGTGTCAGTCAATTATGCCCATATTCTTATAAGATCATTGCCAAGATGCCTTAGTAAATCTACAAGATATGCTAGCAGCTGAATCTAAATAAGTGAAAAAAGTATCCCATATTTTCGGAGCGACTTCAAAAGCGGCTTAAAAAATTTTATTCAGGGTATTATGAGTATAGATCCGACTAAGGCAATCTATTTTGCGAAAGTAAAAGAAATATCGAAAAATTTAAGCTACACATAGATGTTTTTTTTTCCTCTAATCTATAAAGTTAATTTGACCAACTATGACTTTGGATTCATCTATTTCGTTGTTTTCATCTTCCACATTCTGGTTTTCTTGATATTGTTTTTGTACTTTTCGACATTTTTCCATGAAATTAGTTGAAAGTTTGAAGAAAGATTTTTTATATCGAGAATCCTGAATCTATAGATGCCTCGCTGATGGAGTAAACCTACAGAAATGATATTCGATTTTCGGAAAAATGGTTTCATGTGGGATCTAATGAATGAAGGGTATGAGTATGGGTGTATCTATTGATAATACCTGCATCCGCGCTCAAATAAAACTAAAAATATTTCTTTGATTTCATAATTTTATTTACTGTTCTAAAAACTTTTAGTTAGCCCAAAGTAATAGTAATTTTAGAAAATATAGACACCATTATATAAAACATGACTTTTTATTATATTAATAAGATCATATTCTTAATTGAGAACGAAACAAGATTGCGATAAGTTAGTTAGAAATACAGCATTTATTAAAATCATTTTTGTTTTGAAAACAAAGGAAGAACCATTTCCAGATAAATTCGATATGATACTGATACATGTTAAGTGAAGACTGTGCATATGGAAAGGCTGATGGGTGTCTACTTTTTTTATTCTCAATCACACACTCATACCAAAAATAGTCAAATCCAATTCCTGGATTTGACTCGATTTGACCGGAGTTGGATTCGGATTTGACCGGGTTTGACCTGAATTTGAATTTGACTGGATTTGATCGGGTGTGGGTGTGGGTATCAGTAAAGAGAACACCCACACCCAATTTGATAATCTCCGATAAAAATACGAGATATAAGACTAACTATTAAAAGTATAATATTATCGATTGAAATAATAAGAAAATAAAATGTACAAGGTGTTGTACGATAATTAGGAATACTTGAGAAGATCAAAATATTTAAACTATTTCGAATTACTCCAGTAATAACGAAAAACTAACCAACATTAATTGTAATTTGTTGACTAATATATAACAATGATATATTTCACATGAAATGACTTTCGAAAAGTCGTTTTAACGAATAAACGTCATTCTAACAATAATATTATTGTGCAGTTAAATAAGATGCGTCGAATGACACTCTGATATTCAATATATGCAAGTTTAAAATTGAAAAAAGCCTCAATAAATGTTCTTTTTTTTCTTGTTACAAAAAATAGAATGTAAATGCGTATATTACTATTTGATGAATTCTACTTCTAGTTCATGGAGGACAAAACTAAGATCATACACTTTTTTGTATTATTAATACTAGGAGTCATTGAGTTAAAGAAAGGTTTTTTGATGAGATATAAATTCGCATTAAAAGAAAAGCGAAGATTGATCTTTTATATTATATATTATATCGGGAAAATTTCAACTCATCACGATTTTTGTTTTCTGGCTTTCGTAACGAATTGACAATACGAAAGCTCGTAACAGAGCTTTCGCAACGACAGAATCAGGGCTTTCGTAACAAAAAATTAGGGGTTTCGTAACAAATTTTACAGGGCGATCGTAGTGCATGTTTTGATATGTACCATTACAGGGCTTTCGTAACGAAAAGCATGTAATTTCTGGAAACTAAGTCCAGCTATCACCCTCATCCTCATTACGAAAGCCCTGTTGCTTCGTTGCGAAGGCTCTGCAACTGTTACGAACTTCCTGTATTAATCATTACGATCGCCCTGTAAATTTTGTTGCGACATCCCTGTATTTTTGGATATCCCTATTTTTGGTGTTACGAAAGGTCTGATTTTTTATGTTTGTTCAACTCGTCACGTGACAAGTTGAAACTTTCTCATTATATCCTGCAACGTTTTACTGTTTACTTCAGGAGATCGGATGATCTAATGATGCTTATTTTATTAGATGGTGTGGATGTGGTTAAAATGATAAGTATGACTAAATGGCTAGATATTAATCTTATCTCTATCGATTATCTTCATCTATTTATACTTTAAATGTAAAAACTTTTAAAAGGCAAATATCGTGATGGCATCGTTTTTACGCATGTTTTCTAGAAATATAGAAAATCATTTATTGAACGACTATTATGATATTTAAAAAATGACAAAGATTCTTATCGCACTACACATCTCAAATACGATGAAATCAGAGATACACTATGGAGTATAGCAGTTAGCTGTTAGCAGATACCTTACGTGATAGTATTATAAATTTCATTTTTCATTCATTTGTTTCATATAATATTCAGCGAAACTTTTTTTTGTATTTTGGAATTAATCAAATTGTGTACAATCTTGAAATTCAATTTAATGAATTTATTTAATGAAAGGAAAAAATACTTTCAAGGATATAGACAATATATGAAGTAAGACTGTGAAATGAGCTGAATTTATTGATCATCATTGACTATCATCTTCACTACTGTCACTGCTTTCTTCTTGATTATCAATTCGTGGATGTATGATATTCTTTAAATCTGCAAGTGGATGATGTACGTTAACATTCTCAATTTTATGATATAAATCAGCCAGAATAGTACGTGCTTGTTCAACAAAATCTTGTAACTTCCTTGATGATAGACGATGTATTCGTTTCATATCACTAAGCTGGAATTTGAAAACATTTTCAACAACATTTGCATCACTATATGGTAAGTCATCGAAATCTGCTCGTCCACTAGTACAATGATACATTCCACCTCGTAAACGTAGTACTAGATGGAGCGTAGCTTCGTTCGGTATATCATAATCCCTTAATGTTCTGCCATCTTCCAATTGGTAACTCATATATATTAAACGTTGTTGATCAGGAGGAATACCTTTCTTATCTTGTATTAATGCTCTTAGATCTTCTATTGTTGTTGATGAATCAACATGTAAATAGGTTTTTGCTCCAGTAAGTTCTGTTATACATATATCACGTGGAGTATTAAATTTTGTGTCCTAGAGTATAGTTGAAGAAAAGCAATTCGACAAACATTAGTTTACCTGTTCCGGAATGATTTTTGCCATGATAATACAATTATCTTGGTATAATCGGCATGACATAACTGTATCATTTAGCTGCAGGGTTGTACCATTAAACCAATTTTCTCTATTAGGTTGTACATTTTGATGAATTGTACAAAATTTTATTTCAATATTATTCAATTGTCGTTGTTTACATATTTCTGATTTAATCTTTTCGATTGTATCCATCAATTGAATCGACACTGTAAGTTTATCTGGTGGTGAATGTCTGTATCTTCCAAACCATACAGTCACCTGACCATATGTGATAAATTGAGAGTTATTTACATAATAAGAAACCGGTGAATTTAATTCACTATCAGTTAATGATGAGAAGATATTTTCTTTCATTATACCGATTTTGATCCATTTTTGTAAATATTTGGGTACATAATTCTTCTTGAAATGCTTAATGATTTTACCAATCAATTCATGATCCAGAAATTTCTCACTGATATGATGACCATATGGATCAATCAATGTTAATAAACGAGATTTTAATTGACTTTGAATGTTGTTTTCATTTTTACATCGATCACTTAGAATATTTTCGATTTCAGTCACTTGATTTTGAATTGCTTGTACTTGAGAAACTAAATCTTGATATCTAAATGAATCTGGTGTGATCGAAGGGATTGCAGCAGCGGCCATTACGTAAAGAAAAAATGCTCACACTTATTCTGATGAATAAAATGTGACACGTAAAGCATACTTTTATTTACTTCATACGTTGGAAAAAACCTTTTTAACGATAGTCAGTAATATGAGTCATTCTTTTCTTTGACTTCGACAACATCGAAATAACAGAGAAAGAAAAAACAATCTTAAAGATGTAAGATAGAAGGACTTTGTTGTTTCAGAGACTTAAGAAATAATTAGTTTATGAAAATTTTCATTCATTAACTCGTTGCTTGTGTCTCATTTCCATTATCACCATAAGCGAATGTTGCGACTGGTATCCGTCAGACAATCAATGAGTATATTTTGTGATTGAATTAGACTTATTACCTTTTTAGAAGAAGATAAATCAAAACTTTCGATCCATAAAGAATGTAAATAAGCAGTTTTATCATTATTTTTTGATAATAAATATTGTACAATTTCTACCAAACATCCTCTAGCCATACATATGGTCAAATGCTCTAGTTGTGGGACAAGATTCACCAGTAATTTCATATCTTCAAACGAACACTGCTGTATTGCAATTGTGGCATATTTTATTTTGTTTGTTATAGACATCACATGAAAAGTCTCATCTGATTTTAGTAAGTTCACATCTATTTTATCAAATCCAGTTCAGTTAAGACATAACTTTTGAATATTGGGCAAGGAAATAATTAGTTGTATTAAACCTTTGAAGTAGCAGTGAGAAACATAAGTGTTTAGTTTAGTAATTTGTTCCAAATGGGAGAAGACGATTAAGAATAATTGTCGAAATATATTTCTGTTCTTCAAAAGGATTATCAACTTTAAGAGTAAGTAGAGTAACATTTGAAAAATAATTTGTCCAATTAATTAAGCAGTTATCATCTTGTAACTGACGATGATGCACTGAATTCATCTGGGTTTGTTTCATAGATGGAGTAGTTTTTTTCCTTACTTCGAATTCTAATGTGAAACTGTCTTTTCCTTAAATAAAGAGGACAAAAAAAAAATCTTCTATCATATCAATAAATAAATCGATTCATATCTATATGGATCGGATGAATAGAAATATATTCCACAATATTCTCCAAACAGTTTCATGTGATACGCAAAAAAACCATAGTCACTCGAGCCAAAATGAAGATTTAAATTGATCAATCAAATCCATATAAATCTCACCCCCTGTCTTGCTTGTATATACACGATAATGATGATCGAAAATTTTTTAGATGTGGCATATATAATGGGATAAATGATTCCCATCGATTTGCAATTAAATATGTTTTTGATCTGCCAGGGTGTGGGTGTGAGTGGGTGGGTGTGGGTGTGTGGATGCCAAGAGTGTGATATAACACTCACACCCACACCCACTACTACAATGATCGATAAAATTAATTTTATATTTACACATAGAAAGATGAAAAGTTTTATTTAGTTTATATATATTAATAAACAAGTAAAGAACTTTATTTGTATATCTTAAAGGTAGTTTTTCATTACAATAAACTATGTTCAAGATGAGCGTTTTTCTAGTTTAATAAAAATAGCATCAGGTTGAATAACAATTCTTTCTTGTCGTTGAAATCCTTCTTCAATTTTATCACCAGGTAATATTCGATATTGTCGAAGTAATTGAATTAAACATATTTTTAATTCCATTAGTGCAAATCTCATACCAATACAATTTCTTGGACCAACACCAAATGGCATCCAAGCAACAGGATGACGTTTTATGTCATGTCTTTCTGGTATAAAAAGATTTGGATCTTCAGGACCCCATAAATCTGGATTATAATGAATACTAAATACATCTGGTTGAATAATACTACCTAAAACAAAAGATCAATCAAAAGATACTTATAGAATTCGATGATTTTTTTTGCTTTTATTACAGAAACCTTTTTCAATCTTATGACCACAAATACTTGTAGTTGCATTGCATTCACGTGTCATTGCTTTAACAGTTATAGGATACATTCGAAGAACTTCACGTATAAAAAAGTCTAGATAGGAAAGATTATTAGCTGTCTCATAATCCTCTTCGACATTATTATTATTCCAATTATGACGATTAATTTCTTCAATAAGTTTATCTTGGATTTCTAGTCTAGTAGCTAGTACATATGTCGAATAAGCAAGTGCTGTTGACGTTGTTTCATAACCAGCTATCATAAAGAGAAGAATATTCGGCAGTAGTTCATCGGATCGTAATACTTTTGACATTAAACGATCATCAGCATAATCCTAAAATGATAAACAAGATTTTAATATATAATAATTATTTATAATTAATCATTTCAAATACACTACTCTTCTATTCACCACACATTTTACCGTCTTAAAAAGCCCTAGATATACTGGAAGACTCGAAGTCTAGTATTAATTCCTTGAAAAGAGTCATATTTTTTGGTACCCTTAGTGATCGTTTTCAATTTCAGTCTGTTTTTTATTCAATATATGGCTAGTAGCTGGACCTATTTTACTCTTTTATGTACCTGTCGTAGACGAGTTACCACCTTATTCAACATTTATCCACAAGGTATTGTGGGCAAACTTCAGTATCACCAGCCATGGAGTGACCCTAAATAAGTCACTAACGGCTGTTTGTCTCCGATTATCCATCCAATAATATCCTGACTATGTTGTCACATACACCTGCTCTTTTGGTTAGTCAATGTGTATGAAGAGCACAAGAATTCACCGTCAGATTGGGCTTCTTTTCAGAGCTCCACCTAGTCATAATTGTAGGGAAGATATCAGACTATTGAATCTACCGCTAGGCAACAATCCTATACCGCATGGTGACTGAAAGGCAGGAACATTCTTCCTTCTTCGTTCTCTTTTACACTAGTGCGATGGAAAAGACAACTAATCATTGGCAAGCAAAGTGTGTCTTCTTTGAATCATATACGTCGTTACACATTTTAGCATGATTATTTTTGTTGCAATATTCTCCTCAAAACAATACAACTATTCACATAGAAACTTAAATCTGCTTTATGAATGAATAGTTCAAAGCAAAGAAGTGTGGATTTATTAGGTGGCGAAACATCAAAAGTCAAACTATCGATGAGGCAAAATATTGAAGAGGAAAAGCATCAAAGAAAAAAATATCGAAAGTAGCAAATGTCGAAAAGTTTTATAATCTGTACTGAAGAAAAAATATGAAAGTGTGGGTAGAGCTGAGTGCGTATGTGTGTGGAAGTGGCTTTCGTTTTTCTCTTCACACACTCACATTCATACCCCTATCCACATCCTATTGTCTTTCCTTTCCTTTAGTTATACGCTCTCATTGATTTGTTAATGAATAAAAATTTCAAAATCTATTCTTATTCACACATCCCTAATATAATCTGTTCTCCTAATATAGAACATCTAATTTTCGTGATGCATTTGGCTAAGACCTATGCTGAACATGTTCAACGACTGTGGGAATGATTTTAATTGTAAAGATAGTTTTACAACTGCCTGGCTCGATAGCTCGACCCAGCCCAGAGGTATATTTCTTCCGGGTTGAAGCCTTCGTTTTTGTAGGGCCATCCGGCTCGAATTTTATTCTTTTTTCAAGAAAAATTTTCCATATAAAGAAACAGAAAAAAATCTGATGATAATCAATTTTTTTCTATCTAAAACTCAATTAAAATGGCGGTAGTTGAATTCGATAAAAACCTAAATTTTTAATTTAAAAAATAGATTTCATTTGATTTTAACCTTCCTTAATCGGTTTGTAAAATACAGTTTTAGTCGAAAAACTTTTATCAATTGACTAAAAAAGACTAAAATGAATTGAAACCTATCTTTTTAAAGCTGAAAAATTGGATAACAATTAGAATTAAATAACGTCATTTTAACCGATTTTTTTTTGAGTTTTCGTCAAAACTTTTTACATGAGTTTTACACCTTACGACTGATAGCAATCAAGAATTTTCATGATGCTAACATTTTGAAAGGATTATTTAGCTAAAACATTTATTGGATTCAATGACATTTGTCGTCCATATACAAGGTCTAGTGTACTATTAACTTCATTAAGTAACAGAGGTGTTAATGAAGTGAAACAGTGCTAATTGTGTATTAAAATTAATATTCTAATTAAAAATAGTAATCGATCAGACTCTTAGAAATGAATCAGTGCGCATTTTATTCTTGACAGTTTTTTGCTAATAAATGATAATATTCAAGCAGTTTGAGCATGCACGAAAGCATCTTGCTATTTTAGTTCAATAAATGATTCAATTTCTTTCTCATATTGCTGTTTCAAACGTTAAAAATGCCGAACTTTATTCACCTCGTGATCGCTATAATAATAAACTTTGCACAATATTCTAATAAATGACTACAGTGATTGTGGATTTACATCGTGTAGAAATACTTTTTGTAAAAGAAGTATAGTTTTAATAGTGCCATTCTGAGTTGGATCAGGTCGGGTCAGGCTCTGATACAGTAGAAGTCGGGTTAAGCGAGCACGAACAATTTTTGTCCCGATCTTGAGGCCTGATAGAGAGTACTTCTAAGGAACAAGAAATATTCCCAAACCAATTTTTTTCTAAATAAAGACACATATCGTTAACTCTTCTTTTTTATCAACTATTCTTTATCAAATATTCAAGTCAGAACTGACATATTTCTAATACGAGAGCACAAGCAAAATAATGTCCACATTGAACATAGTTATGAACCAGGGCTCCGCGTAGGATCAGATCGGACGAAAACATTTGAAAGCTGTCCCATGGGATGAGACGAAAAATTTTCTATCCCATCCCATTAGTCTTACGGGACAAACTTCCATATAAAGTCATTTGTTTAAATAACAATATTATGTTTCGATGTAGGTATTGTTCTCGTTTACTCCAGCAGAATCGACTGGGAAGAAATACAATTTTTTCCACTCTGTAAGTCGTTAAACAAACTGATAATCGTATTAATAAATTGTACTTTTTTGAGGTATTTGATAAGTATAAAAACCCGTGAGATGATACAGATATGAGAAAAGTTTTCGTTTCATAGGATGGAATAATTATCGAAAACTTCACGTCTCATCCCATTCTATAGGGTTTCACACTTGTCAAGTGCCTCAAACAAAAATACAATTTATTAATACACTTATTAGTTTGCTTAACCATTTACAGAGTAGAAAAAAATTGTATTTCTCCTTTGTCAGTTCCGCTGGAGTAAACGAGAACAGCATCTACATTAAAACGTAATATTATTGTTTAAAAAAAATGACTTTATATCAAAGAAGTTCGTTCTATGGGACGGATTGGATAGGATGGGACTGTCTCATTCCACGCAGAACCCTAGTGCGAACATCTGCAGAAGTACGTTAAAAAAAATCAATCAGCTAACGAAAACTTTAAGAAAATGAATTATTAAAGGAAGATTTCTAATCTATCAAAGATTTTTATCTATTCGACTTACTATAACTTTATCATTAGTCGAAGCATCCATCATAAGTTGTAATAAATCTACACGTTTGTTCAAATCCTTTGAAGTTTTTCTTCGAAGATCAACAACATCTTGAACACGATTTAACAGCCATAAAGTTGGCATTTCTTCAATATAATTACTCAAAAATGGTATCAGTTTGATTAATTTCTTACAAATATTTGAAATACCAAACAAAGTATAATATAGAGGACGTGTTAGAATAGGCATCAAATTGGTCAATCGAACCAGTAGTAATCCATCAATATCTATCTTAAAAACTGCAGCCGATTTTTGTAAATATGGATTATTTATATCATTTTGCATATCAGTATCAATACCAAATGCACAACGACCTAATAATACATAGATAGAAATGCAAAAAAAATTGTCTCATTTATATTGATCTACTTACAAATAACATCCATAGTCATTCGTTTGTATAACTCATAAATGTTGATTTCTTTATGTTCACTATGTGTTATCTGTGATACTTTATTTAGCATAGCTTCAATACATCCATTTACTAATGGAGACATTAATTTAAGTTTAGCAGATGAAAATGTTGGATTGAGAACATGTCGTTGACGACGCCATCTCGCCCCAATAGTTCGAAACAGATTAGTTCTTCCAGACCTTTCTATACGTAAAACACTTGCTATAATGCGTGAATGAAATGATGAAAATTGTTTTATATAAACTTCTTGAAGAAAGTCAACATCAGAAACAACATAAATCGGTGTTGTACCCAAGAATAATCCATAAATAGAACCATATTGACGAGTCCACTCTTGTAATTGTTTTGAAAATGATTTCGTAGACCATAATGTTTTATAATGACCAAAAAAGAAATGATGTGGTGGTCCTGATATGCCAAGACGTTTGAAATAATCATAACGATTGTTGATTGTCCATAAATACGCAACAATAAGACAAACAACAATAGATATAAGAGCAATAGTTGAAAACATTTTTT